CACTAAAGCTGCTAGCATGGTGTTCTTCTTAAAACCAACTCTCTGTGTGAAGATCTCTCTGCACTGGGGACAGCTATGGATTCCTTCCTGATTCTCTTCATCCCAGTATGTTTTGATGCAGTTCATACAATAGCTGTGTCCACAGGGAATAGTCACTGGATCCGTCAGTAGATACAGACAGATTGAACAGCAGAAGGTGTCTGGGTCAAGCTGATCTTGCTCCATTGTTCTTGTCAGTCACAGTGACTCTGTGAAAATCATTTCCTGAAAACACTAAAATGTTTGAGCTCTAATCTTGTAACTGTGTCAGTATAGAGAGGCTGCAGCGAATCAGCTTTCAGCAGTTGTTGGTTCCGCCCAGCTTCAAAGTGTCTTTTAGAAATGAAAGTACAGCTGGGGTTATCACGTTTTTACAGCCTGCAGAATAAGGTGGATAGTTGTAAATCTTACCTTTGTCTCATAATTCGAAAGCAGAACTTGTTCACGTATTAACTTAATTTCTTCTTGGTTTGCTCCCTGACATCCTGGGATACAGACCAGGAAGCAGAGTTTAACACACCTCTCTGCAGCTTCTCTACTGTTACCCACTCAATAATCTATCCATCCAGACAGTCACATAAAATGGAACAGAATCCTAAAGGAGTAAATCATGATAATCTAATCAAAATTAAAATAACTTCAATTGGAGAAACAATTAAAACTATTAAGTTAATTATTTAGTTAATACCTTGATTTAAGCTATTGAAATTGATTTAGGTGCTTTACAGAAACTTGGTTGCAGCAAGAGGATTATGTGAGCATAAATGACGCAGCTTCCTCTAGGTATTTACATTTTCACATACCCAGAAATTCTGGGAAAGGAAGAGGAGTAGCAACAATCTTTCAGTCTGACTGAGCCATAGCTCTGTCAAACTGTCCATCTCACCTGCTCTTACCAGTAATGATTTTATGGGATTCTTTATAAAAAAGATTGATTCTATTAAAAGTAAGATAATTACCACCCCTCTGAATATGATTGGTTAATCCCCAGTTGAACTTTCAGAGTTAGCTAAACTATTATCTTTATCTAAAGGCTGATTTATACTCCGCAGACACTCTGCTGCACCTCTCCCAAATTTTAGCTGACCGCAGACAGTGCCGCAGACAGGAGGCCGGCTTATTTTGTTTTTATGAAAACAAAAACAGGAAAACAACTCGTGAAGTTGGACCAGCTGGAAGAGCGAGGTGTGCAAAAACACTGGCACCATTTTTCCACCTGGACACCTGCTCTTTTTTTGCTGTCATGTCCCTCTGTTGTTGGACAAACTTGCCCCCACTTCCTCACCACATTGGCCGTATCTAGACCCCTAGCGTAGACCACGCTCAAAATTAAGCATAAATAAAAAATATCAAGCTCACTGCGACACGCTGCTGCGGGGAGTATAACAGCCCTTAAGCCTTCAACTTGTATGTTAGATCGAGTTCCAATCATGTTATTTAAGGAAGTACCGATTTCCTCCTCCAATTTAGATATGATTAATCTATCCCTTTAACAGGGATATGTAACAAAGGTTTTTAAATTTGCTATAATTAAACCTTTACCTAGGAAAGCATCTCTTGACCCAGTGTCAGGACTTAGAATGTAAGACCCATTATTAAGGCGAGACAGACAGTGGGAAAGTTCAAAACTTTTATTAACAAAAAAACAAACAGAAAATGCAGAGCTGAGGATCTGCGGATCTAAGGTGACTGGGGGGTGAGGTGGGGTGTCACCCATCACCTTCACTCTGGTTAAGGGAGAAACACAGGTAAGTGATCACGATAATCTGACAGAAGATGATTATTCATGAGTTATTTACCTGGTTTAACAGTTCAGTCCATCCTCTCAGATGAGGCAGGATCCAGCCGATGCCAAACAATAAGATGCCCAGAGTGTCCCTTATGCAGCAGCACCAGTGAGCAGACAGGAGTCTGAACTGGACGATTCTTTTTTTTAGGCTCAGATGAAGCCCTGCCCGTTTGTCTGAGCGGAAATGGGCAGGTTAAGCAGTTGAGAGGCAAAAACATGACACAACACCAGGAAAACCATGGAACTTTAAACTGGCTTCCTCCTCTGAGCCAAAAACAGGAACAAGGCCATTCAGAGGATAAGACACAGGACTACCAGGTTTAAACTATCTTTGCCCTGCCATGCCTAAAACAGGAACAGGGCATGCTCAGCCGCCAAGAGCTAGGACACGATCAGGAAAAAAGACGAATCAGGAAGATTTCCTCTTTAACCACTGGCCTAAGAGATAGAAAAATATGAACTAAGGAAATCAATCAAACTAAACTCTTCAAGCAGAAGAAGCAGGTAGATAAGATGAATGATAATTAGGCGGGGAGGGTTCTGCAGGTGAGTGAAGTGAGCAATTAAATCAGCTATCAGGGAAGATCATGATGCCCAGATGACAAATATAGCACCTATATCCAACCTTCTTTTCTTATCTAAAATTCTTGAGAAAGTAGTTGCCAAACAATTGTGTGACCACGTATACCATAATGATATTTTTGAAGAGTTTTAATCTGGTTTTAGAGCTTATCGTTCTAGTGAAACAGCCCTGGTGAAATTCACTAATGATATTCTCATGGCCTCAGATAATGGACTATCTGTACTTGTCCTGATCTCAGTGCTGCATTTGACAGATTTGATCATAATATTATTTTAGAAAGACTTGAATATTTGGTAGCAATTAAAGGAACAGCACTGCTCTGGTTTAAATTGTATCAATCGGATGGAATTTAAGTTGGTTCACGTTATTGATAAATCTCCCTTGTGTTCCAGTGTTGCCTGTGGAGTACCACAGGGATCAGTGCTAGGACCAATTCTCTTTACATATGCTCCCAAAAAATAGAACTATTAGACAGCATGGGATTAATTTCCACTGTTATGCTGATAATACCCAGCTATATCTGTCTCTAAATCCAGGTGAAGCTAACCTATTAAATAGATTACAGGCATGTCTGAAGACATGAAAACCCGGATGACTCTTAACTTTCTGCTCCTAAATGCAAACAAAACAGAAGTTATAGTCTTTGGACCAGAGTCTTTGATCTCGTATATATTGGCCAAAGACAAAGAGTGAGGAAAAGAAAGCTTTCAGATCACCTTGTGCATCAATCAGTTTTAAATCTATTATTAATTGATTTACTAGTTCATGTTGGTACAGTAATTCCAGTATGAACTCTTTGTATTTCTGTCAATCATCCACAGAGATTCAAAGGACAGAAAATACACTAAAGATATATTCAAACCAAAAGGTTGTTTATTTACAGAGATTGAAAATGCTGATTATTTCAATATAATCTAAACAACTAAAGCACTGATAAATATTTCCCAGACTTTTTTAAGACATGAAATCAGCTTCAGTCCAAACTGAAAAATATATCTGTGTTTCATGCTTGTAAGGACTTAACAAAATGTGTTTAAAGAAGAATAGGATCAAATGGCTGGTTTCACTTTTTCAACCTGGGAAATGATTAACATTTTATTGAATTCACAGTTTTTGTTGCCAAAAAAAACAAAATCCATAGTTCAAAACAGTTTCACAAGAAACTCAAGAACCAAAAAAATAGGAGACACTAGGGAGGAATAAAACAAAAGAAGGACGAGGATCCAGCAATGAGTAACTGAACAGTAGGTGTAGATATGGGAGGAATAATTGGCTGATAGGGAGCAGGTGCAGACAGAATTAACTAGCAGGAGCTAAGGGGGAAGGAAAGGATGGCAACAGACAGCAAAGAGCAAAACAAAGCATACCCAAAAAATTAAAAACTTAACAAAAATGAAAGTACTAAAAGTAAGATCATAACAAAATGTTAAGAATTGATCAATTTCAACATAATTAGAAAATCAAATTTAAATAGAAGATAGATAGAAGTCCTGATAAATTCTGACAGTTAATTTCAGTGAAATACAAATGTAAAACATAAAAATAAAACATAAACATAAGACATAAAACAACACTTTAGAATAAAAAAATCTGAAAAAAAAAATGAACAAACACTTCAGTAGATTCTTTCTATTCTGGTTTACAGAACTCTACAGAGTCTCCAACACAGACTCCAGCATGCAGCGGCTGAGTGAATGTGGTCTGGACTCTGTGGAGGAGAGTCATGGTTTCAGACACGCCGTAGAAAGACAGAACACCTGCTGAGTGATCCAGGTACACTCCTATTCTGGAGGAAACAGGACCTGGGATCAGAGTCCAGATGTTGTTGTGACCAAATCTGCAGCCATTTGGGGAACAATCTAATGCCCAAGATTTGTCATTACATCCAAATCCACATTCAGTTCCGCTTCCTGCTCTGCAAATATCCTTGTATACGACAGCTACATAGGCTCTCCTGCTCCACTCCACCACCCAGTAGCAGCGTCCAGTCAGACTCTCTCTACTCAGAACCTGATAAAAATCAGTAAATCTTTCTTGGTGACTAGAATGAGATCGAGGTTCACTCACCAGTGTCACCTTCCTGTTCCCCTCTAATAGTAACAGCCGTGCATGTGCTGTATCTGGATCCAGTGTAATTTTTTGTGAATATTTCAAGAATTCGTCTCTCTTCCTTGTTTCCAGCTCTGACTGTAAAATCTCCAGTGAGATGTTTGGCCAAGTGTCCTTTAAGAGCTTCTTTAGATTATCTCTGAACTTGATCACAATTGCTGTCACATCCTCAAAAAATGGCGGCAGGATTTCAATGCTGGAAAACTGTGTAGACTGACTGGTTGTTGACAGACAGGGGTAGTTGTGGAGAAACTGGATGAGATCCTCTTTGTTTGAGACTTGCTCCAGATGCTTCTGAATCTCTTTGACTCGACTTATTTTAGTTTCTTGCTGGGATCTGACCTGCTGCTTCACATCATACCTTATTTTCTGCATTAAACAGATCAGCTCTTTAAATATCTCCTCACACTCATCCACTATTTTATCCGCAGATTGACTGATGTTCTCCGCCTTTTGTTGAAACAGCCTTGCAGATTCCTCTTTGTCCTGGGTTATCTGTTGGAACTTTTCTGGCTTTATCTCCGGCAGAAAGCTGTGGATTCCTTTCTTATCCTCATTATTCGAAATGTTGTGTCCACTGGGAATACTCACTATATCCAAACACATTGCACCAAAGAGATTTTCTGGGTCCAGCTGATCCTGCTCCATTTTTTTTATTGACTCCTAGCTACAGTGATTTTATGAATATTATTTCCTGAAAGCACTATTAGCTTTGAGCTCTAATCAGTAAACTATGTGTCTGTACAGAGAAGCTTTATCCAATCAGCTTTTTTTTTTATCAGACATTTGATTCCGCCCAGCTTCAAAGGGTTTTTGAGACCAGGAAGAACTGGGGTTATCAAATTTTTACAGCCTGTAGAACAAGGAGCAGGGCTGTAAATCTAACCTTTATCTAATCATTTACGAGAAAAGGTCTGTGCAATATTGTTTTACTTTTCTTTGTGAAATGTATTCTTTCCATTTCATATTTTTCTGCTTTCGTTTTATCCCAGAAGAATAAAAAAAAAGTTCCATGTATAAAAGTTGAATGTATAAAAAGATTATTCTTAATATACAAACATGTTGAATGTTTGGCACAGGTTAATTTAGTGAATTTGTTACTAAATCAATAATAAATTGTATTTCATACTTTGTGAGTGCAAGATAAAATACAGTTAGATTTCATATATATTAAGTGCTTCTATTTAAAAGCCTTAAAATGCTTATTTAAGAAATCGTATGTGAAATTAGCACTAAAACCAAATTAGATCCCATTTAATCAACAAACATCTATTCAGAATTAGAATCATAAGTCTAGTGGTTAGGGCATAGAGCTTGGGAAACTGAGGTTCTGAGGTCCGAGGACTCCTACAGACTGCCACTCTGGGTTCCTGAGCAAAAGACCCTTAAACCCACATTGCTTCCCAGGCACTGGATTGAACTGAATTACGACGGCCTCCATGGTATTCCTTCATCATGGACGACATAAGTTTTGCTGTACCCAAAAATCCACTTAGCTTTAGGCTGAGAGCAGAAAAAAAGATGCTGAGGTAAAGTGGGGGGGGGATTACTGATAGGTAGTTTGTGATCATGATGGCCTCCTGAGCCACTGGAGAAATGTTGACTCAGAGGTACAGTTTCACCAAGTTACTGGTGGGTTGAAGCTTTGAGTGGAATATGATTACGAATAAATGTATATATATATATATATATATATATATATATAAAAATCAAACAGCAGATTCTGTAAAAACATTTTTTATTATTCACAAACAAAGTCTGGATGGGAGAACGTCCAGGTCATGATCTAAGTGCTTTTATAAGTAGGACTAATTCTTAGTGAACATTTCTGTGTGACTTTTTTCACATTGTTGTGGAGACAAAAGTACAATGGTTTTTCAAACATGGCCTTAGTATGATGATTTTTTCTGCCCTTTAGCTTCTGCAAAGCACTTTGAAGTTTCCACGACACCAATTAATTCATTGAACAGCAAACTGCTACAAAGGTCCTCAGTGAATATATTGCTTTAAATCAGCAGAACCTAGATGCTACTTTCCATTTTAAATAGTTATGAAGTAACATGGTTTCTTAGTTTCTACACAAAAGGAGGGTGCTACCCTGAGCAGAATGGACCCAGGTTCAAAAACTAAACACGCCAGCAAAATAATTGAAGGGGACAAAAAATAAAAAATCAGAAAATCAGAACCTGAAAGTCATTTGTTAGTTTAGAAACTGAGCTTCAATTCTTACAGATAATGCTAGTATTATTAGTAAAATCTGACACAAATAAGTCTTTATAGATGCACATATATTTACATATTAGCATTGAAGTGATCCAGTTTCTGCGTTTTTTCTAGGCCATTTTCCAAAACCTGCGCCCTGCAGAGCAAAGCAGAACTGCTCAACTGCCCTCTGGTAGCATCCAGCTGCCATCTTGGATGCAGAGTAGGTTGGTTTGGTGGCTTCAGGTCCCATAGTAGGCTTGTTTAACTGTGGATTGTAGAAAGGGAAAATGGTGAGGTGGATAGTTCATAGTGATATTTCTTTCCTCTGCAGAGCGACCTATATCATGCAAAATTAACTTTTCAGTGTTTAAGTGTGTTATAGGCAAAGTAAAGCAAGGCATTTTAATTTGTATAGTACAATTAAGTACATGAACAAGTCAAAGTACTTTACATTAATTAGATAATAAGAAAGAAGAAAAATAAAACCATAATAAAAGCAAAAACATTTGTGAAACTAATAAAACATTTGGACCACAATAAAAGCAGAATAGAAGCAAGTAGAGAAGAAAATAAAAAAGCTGAATCACAACCTTAAACTAATATTACCTTAGTTAGCAGTTTAGCTTCAACAGTCAAAGACAGCTCTGAACAAATGGGTTTTTCACTTTGACTTAAAAGAACTCAGGCTTTCAGCACTTTTCCAGTCTTCTGGGAGTTTGTTGCAGATCATTGGAGGACAGGAACTAAATGCTGCTTCTCCATGTTTGGTTCTAGTTCTGAGTGGACAGAGAAGGCTGGAACTAGAACACCTGAGTGGTCTGGGAGGATGATGCACTGACAACAGATCTGTTATGAATTGAGATGCTGATCCATTTAGTAATTTATTGACTGACTAGCTGATGTGCTCTACTTTTGTAGTTCTAGTGAGAACAAGGGCAGCTGTGTTTTGGATCAGCTGCAGCTGTGTGTTGGACTGTTATGTCAGGAAGCAGGACAGAGGGACATTCAAGGTGAGACAGATGGTGGGATAATTCTAAGCGTTTATTTAACAGAGATCGGGCTGTGGATCCGCAGTATAAGCGGCAAGGGCGGGGCTCCGCCCATCACTCAAAGCTCTGGTTTAATAGTTCAGTCCATCTCCAGAAAACAAGGTAGGATCCAGCTGGTGGGATGCCAACAAGATGAGGTGGGCGCCGCCCAGAGTGTCCCAGATACGGTAGCCCCTTAGAACAAGCAGGAGTCCAAGCCAGGTCAGGGATACCGATGAGGACAGGAACAGGCTAGTACTGTATAGGGTTCCAGGATAGTTCAGGCAGTACGTTCAGATGGAAACAGGCAGGCTCAGTGGTTGAGCAGCAGAACAGGTTAGCATATCAGGAACACTGCAGAATGTTAAAAAACTGCTCACTCCACTGAGAAACAGAGCACGCTTATGTGATAAGAGGCAGGTCACAATCAGAAGCTCAGGAACCCCATGATATGCTCAAAACCCTCTCTCTTCTAGCAACCAAGAACGAGCACTAGCACAAGAACATCAAGATCAATCGGGGGCTGATGGCTGGGACTGAGCCGTATTTATAGAAGCAGGGACAGGTGGATTAGATAAGCAGTAATTGGAAACCTGGCAGAGTTAGGCAGGTGGATGAAATGAGCAATTAGGCCAGCCATCAGTGCCAAGATCATGACATTTTTAGGTAAATCTGTGAAGACACCGTGGCAGTAAATACATTCTACCAAAGATAAATGCATGAATAAGTTTTTCTAGATCCTGCTTGGACATAAGTAATGCTGAGACATTCTCAGAGTTTTGCAGCCGTCTTAAAGAAGAGCCTAATCATCAGAAGTGGTGTGATAACNAGCTGATGTGCTCTACTTTTGTAGTTCTAGTGAGAACAAGGGCAGCGGCGTTTTAGATCAGCTGCAGCTGTGTGTTGGACTGTTTTGTCAAGAAGCAGGACAGAGGGACATTCAAGGTGAGACAGACGGTGGGATAATTCTAAGCGTTTATTTAACAGAGACTGGGCTGTGGATCCGCAGTATAAGCAGCTAGGGCGGGGCTCCGCCCATCACTCAAAGCTCTGGTTTAATAGTTCAGTCCATCTCCAGAAAACAAGGTAGGATCCAGCTGTTGGGATCCCAGAGTGTCCCAGATACTGTAGCCCCTTAGAACAAGCTGGAGTCAAGCCAGGAACAAGCCAGGTAGTACATTCAGATGGGAACAGGCAGGCTCAGTGGTTGAGGAGCAGAACAGGTTAGCATATCCAGAACACTGCAAAATGTTAAAAAAAAAAACGCTCAGTCCACTGAGGTACAGAGCATGCTCATGTGATAAGAGGCAGATCAGAATCAAGAAATCAGGAACACCATGATACGGTCAAAACCCTCTCTCCACTAGCCCCCAAGAACTAGCACTAGCACAAGAACATCAAGATCAATCTGGCCCCGATGGCTGAGACTGAGCCATATATATAGAAGCAGGGACAGGTGGATTAGACAAGCAGTAATTGGAAACCTGGCAGAGTTAGGCAGGTGGATAAAATGAGCAATTAGGCCAGCCATCAGTGCCAAGATCATGACATTTTAAAGTAAAACTGTGAAGACACTGTGGCAGTAAATACATTCTACCAAAGATAAATGCATGATAAATGCATGCATCCTGCTTGGACATTATTCCTTTAATACTGGAGATGTTCTACAGGTGATAAAAGGCTGACTTACTAACTTCCTTTATGTGCCTCTGAATGTTCAGGTCCATTATGACACCAAGATTTTGGCCATAATCAGTGGTTTCAAGCTGTTATAGCTGAAGCTGTGAGGTAACTCCTTTGGTCTGAAGATTATTATCCCAGTTTTGTTATTAATCAGTTGTAGAAAATCATGATACATCCACATATTGATCTGTTCTAAGCATCTAACCAACACTCTGATGGGTTCATATTCACCTGGTGACATTGTGGTGTAAAACTGTGTGTCGTCTGCATAGCTATAGTAACTGACCTTGTTGTTTGCTATAATCTGAGCTAAGGGGAGCATGTAGATGTTGAGCAGAAGGGGCCCCAGAGTGGAGCCTTGAGGAACATTCTGGTACTGCACTGGACGACCCAGTTATCCAGACTGTCTAATAAAATGGAGTGATCAACAGTATCCAAAGCTGCACTGAGGTCCAATAATACCAGCACTGTGGTTCTTCCACATTAGTCTGAATTTATACAGATGTCATTGAACACCTTAATCAGGGCAGTCTCTGTACTGTGGTTGGCACGGAAATCTGACTGGAAGACATCAAAGCATCCTGTCATGTTAAGAAGGCATTTAACTGTTGAAACACAACTTTTTCATTAATCTTACTGATGAAGGGGAGGTTTGAGATGGGTCTGTAGTTCTGAAGGACCAATTTGTCC